TCAACCATCATCATCATTATAAATGTTTAATCAACTAGCTTCATTCATCATCATTATTAACAGCCTTCTACGAGTATAGTCCACTGCTGGAAAGGAGGTTTTGGCCTATGTAAGTACCACGCTGGTCAGACGGGTTGGTATAGGGTTTATATCAAGTTTTTCCTTATTGAACATAGATAGCAGTATCTTTATAACCATTTATTAAAAACATGTCTTGAAACTTTTTTCATAGCTTGCTGTAACATGTACTTATAAAAACTAAATATTTTAGTGCCATCTAGTGAGAACCATCCAACTACGTAGTAACTAATGATAATGCGTCGCACAATAAAATTTCTCGTGAAATATTTAGTTACAATTTAATTTCCCAATAACAATCGTGGAGCTGCTATCTGCCAGACTTGCTCCTTCCTTTGTTATAGACGAACATAACATCCATGTCTCCTTAACCTAGGCCTGATGTTTTAAAAATAATGTATTAGTATTAAATAGGTCCCTAATAAAGTACAAACCTATATTTTCATTTATTTTTACAATCTATGTTTATGATTTTACTTAAAGATTCTGGCATCTCATAATAGTAATAACGAATAATGGTATGTTATATAGACGGGCCTGTTGGTCTAGTGGTTAGTGACCCTGACTGCTAAGCCGAAGGTCGTGGGTTCGTTTCCCACCCAGGACAAATATTGTGTGATGAGCACGATCATTTGTTCTGTGTCTGGGTGTAATTTATCTATAATATGTATGTATTTAAAAATATATAAGTATGTTTATCAGCAGTCTGGTTATCATAGCACAGGTTCTGCCTAGTTTGGGATCAGACGGCCGTGTGTGAGTTGTGTGAGGTATATTATTATTATTATAGTTATTCTAGCTAACTACTCAAAATATCAGGGCTGAACTGAATAGGCTAATTTGTGCATTTAATGTGACAAAAGGTTACGAAGCTAAAGAAAAAGAAGTAAGAAGAAGGTTAAAGAAATTTGTTTTTAATTTTAAATAAAGAACAAATCTTTTTTCTAGATCTTACTACACACTCACTACACACAGTGCAGTCACTAACTATTTGCAATCAGCAAATGCGTCGTGTTATCTGCAATATGACACTCATGGTTGGTGCCAAAAATGTACGTTGAAAGGAAACATTTGTATTTTCGAGAAAGTTCCTATGGTTACGTAAGAACGATGAATTGAGGTCAGATTCGACATATTAAAAAAAATCTTTATCAGAAAATTATGAACAACGAGGGTAAAAGATACTTTGATTAAATAAATTTATTTGATTCTATAAACAAAAAAAACCCAAATTCATAATGCTTCGAAATTAATATCGTAACAATTACATGAGTACTTCAAAATATTTTCGTTTAGAAATTGATGCATGTATTTGCGTTTTCGACGAATTCAATGTGGCGCAGTGTGTTGACATTTTGTTGGCAGAAGTGACAAACATTTTAGACTCAGGTTTCAAATATATAAATTGTAAGAATAAACAAGATAATTTTCTAAACTAGCTCCTAGAAGCCTGTAAAATCCCCAGGAGGCTTCTGCACTTCTGGAAGGAGCTTGGTTGGCTCGCCTAGCCAACCTCTTCTGGACGCATAAAGGACCACGCTCGAGTCTAAATACGAAAATCGGAGCCCATAACCAATACCAATACCGTAGTACAGCCTAGTTTGGGATCAGACGTTAAAGACAGATTATTCTTTTAGTATTCAATTATATGTTAATACAGCAAAATGTGAAGTCATAAGTTGGTTTTTGTATTTTTTTTACGGTATCTACCGTTTTGGCGTTGTAAAAGAGAAAGTTATCACTTTGCATTCATTTTTACATGCATTATTAGAAACACAGCTATGCGTTCCTTCCATTTCTCATAAGTATGTAACTATCCTTAATTTCGTATTTAAGCTGTTAATAACCTCATCAGAATTAATGACATTTTTGTAGCTCTACAATAAAAATTCCTTCTTAAACTCAAACTCTAGTACGTGACTGATATTTGACGTCACCAACTCTTGAAATATTCAGATACAAATTGTATAGTTGGTAATAAAATCCCTAGATGGCGCTCATTAAGTGACGTCCTTTTTAAATCTGCCTAAAGATATTCTTGTCACCGGATAGACATCTAAGTTTTTTGTATTTTATTGTATTGTCACAGTGGCAAGGCCCGACTCGACAGTTATATTTTAAATTTACTTACAGTGTTTGAAACCGTGTTTCAATAGTGAGTGCAGTTAGTTCGAATTAGACATGGAAATTATTGCTACTTTTAAATCATATTCATTGAGGTAGTGATTGGTTTTAGTCACTGTGATAAATCACTACATAGATTTGGTCATAGACAGATATTAATGCCATCAAAATCAATCAAGCCGACTTTTTTTTTAGTTTTCGACCTTTCGCGTGTCTGGCGCCAGCGTAATAATAATAATTAGACGCAATGATACTGTAGATGAGTCACAGGTGTTATGAAATGATTTCAAAATCACATGATTAATCATAAGTGATTGCGAAGTTTTTTTAAAGACAACTCCCGCTCTAGGAATATATCCTGTGCTGCGGGGACTTAACAAACATTCATGAAACGGACACAAAGAACACCCAGACTCAGAACGATAATTTGTGGATCATACAAGGGGTTGTCCCATGGGGGTCGAACTAACAACAAGCGTGACGACAGCTTAAACCACTACGCCATCCGCGCAGTCAATTTTATCCCATGCTGAGTTCGAACTCTTCCAGTTGAGGAGAAGTGCAGTCGGAAAATTTAGACATATGGTTCCCTTAATATCTTTATTATCAAAGATTTAGTAATGCTTCTAAACCTAAAGAAAAAATAGCAATTAAGTACGAGTATTATGTGAGTATTATTTTAATGCTTTAGATATTTACAATCTATTACAATCTATTATTTACTTTAAGAATATATTTTGTTGTTCTCTGAGTGAATTTACAATTATAGCACTAAGTAAAATTTGTTAATTTAGTTTGTAATTTGGTTTAGTTTGGCTTAAGTTTAATTAATGTGGCTACAATATCGCCTTGGAATACTACTGTAAAGATATTGTAAGAAGAAAATAAATAAATAAATAAATAAAAATAAATAATCCGACCGAATGCAGTAGCAATTATGTTGTTTGTAGTCACACATCATTAAACTGGAAACCTTTTTAAAGACTTGATAATCCATTGAATTCTGTTTTTAAATATGTATTATACAGCAGGTCTAGTGGTTAGCTAACTTCACTTATGATCCAAAAGATTTATTTATTAATCAAGATATTTACTACGGTTTATTCCCAGTAATTCCATGAAGCCAGTTTCACATGGTACTGATATAACCTTAAAAATGTAATTAACAAAGCATGGTGATTGCAAAAATAATATAGGTTTAGTACAATATGATATGTAGGCTCTAAGGTTATTAGTTAACTAAATAAAGTTTTTGACCAAATTCACAAGAAATTTAAGCTAATGATGCAATTATGCCAAACTAAATTAAATGTATACAGCGATACATTGTGTTATCTCAAAGTGGTAAGGTGAGTATATTTCTCTTATAAATGGTAGCTCGTGAGTCGAAGATGTCAAGATTCATTATTCGCCGCTATTTTGTTATAAAGACGACCACACTCAAGAACATATAATTAATTGTGTGTAGATCACGATTATTTGTTCTGTGTCTAGGTGTAATTTCCCATACAAACTTCCACCCCTCTTTTAACCCCCTTAAAGAATGATTTCTGGGATTAAAACTATCCTATGCCCTTTCCTGGGACCCGAACTATCTCTTTACCACACTTTCACATTTATAATTTTAGTATCATCATCAACAGCCTATGCTAGTCCCCTGCTGGACATATGCCGCTCCTTAGAAAGGAGGTTTTAGCCTACTATGCCACGCTGGCGAGACGGGTTGGTATAGGGTTTATTTGAAGTTTTCCTTCTTTTTGCAGTGCTGTTTACCTGCGTAGTTTACTCCATTAGTCGGCTCTTACGACACCTACGTGATGAATATGGGCGGTGACACTCTGTATTCTATTTTAGTATAGTTACATTATATGATTATACACATACACATAATCCTGATGACGTATGTTGTGGCGTAAGCGAACTGTGCATATTTAAGAACAGACTTGTAGTTTCAGAGGGTATAACACAACACTAGTAGTAGTTTTCTAAGACATTTAAATCTGTATTCTATAAATATCTTTTGGATAATTTACACTAAACGGTACCTAAATTCTGTCAAGCATATTAAATGAGCAAAAAACTATACTATCTAAAATAAATTTCACCGCCGTTAATTTAACAAAAACACTATCTATCTGTTATAAATCAGGCAACGAAAATGTCTATTTAACGTTAATGTACAAAGTGCGGTAAAATAGCCATTAGTCAATGCGGGTTGAATTTATTGGGACTCTATCTAGGCAGATTCGGGTCACACGAATGTTTCTGTTCGGAGCATTTTGCTAAGGCAAACTAGTGACAATAGAAGAGATGTATAGAGGAAAATTGAAAATCTTTTTATTTGGCAAAAAGGTTTTCTTTTTTTATGATATAGAGGCACAAACGAGCAGTGTGATAAAATACAAAATCATGAGGAGGAAGTGAGGGGGGGGGACTGGGTTTTGGTAATCTCACTCACTCGGTGGAAAGTAATGAAATAATTGATTAACAGCGGTTTTGACTCCAGTCGAGCCTGCCCATTAATGCCGGAGCCAACTTTCCATTTTGATAAGTTCTTAATGAAAAGTTTGATATTACAAAAATAAATAATTTAGGAGCTTTTTAAATTAAGTGTACTACATTTTTTAACATTATCTATTAGAGTTAAATAGTTCGATGATAACAAGGTATGACGTCCAATTTGTCTAACTTATTTGATTTGACAGTCAACAACGGAAAATAATATTAAAAGAAACAGTGATGTGAAGGAATAAAGACTACATTTAGTAATATTTTATCTCCTCTTTCCAGCCAATAAGATGCTGTCAATCATATTCGGGAGCAACAACTTACAAAGCAATTTATATGAACAATTTTTTGGTACAATATTACCTACGGGTATGCAAGATAGACAGATAAAGCAGGATCTCCGCATAAAATGAAATTCGTGGAACATTTTACTACGGGATAAAGTTAGAAGTATCACAGTTAAATAAGAATAAAAGCAAGTCTATACGCTTTCACTATCGAATGAGTTTGAATAAGTTCTCATTCATAGACAAAACAAAAACAATTATAGGTTACCATAGATGATTTTTAAACGATTTAGTGCCTAATTCGTATTTAAAATGACGGTTTATGCTCGTAGTTTTTAAAAATATGTGCTTGTTTCAGAGCCTCCAAGTAATGTTGCTTGTATTTTTGTAGCAAATCATAAACTAGGCGTACTTATATTTGAATTATCAACCTAATATCTTCAAAGAAAGTTTAATTCGAATAGCCCTGCTGATAAACAAGCCCTGCTTGTCTTAAATTTAGGTAACATTGGTTATAGAAATCTATAGGAGAAAATATATGAAAAATTAGTTTGATTTAAATTTCAGACATTTTGATCTTCATACACCGAGCATGTTCATTCGTAGATTTCGTATCGTTCGAGTAGATAATAGGCTCTATGAAGCGTAGTTTCAACTATCCTCTTATGGTTTAAAAAAAATAAGTAAGACCCCTTTTTTTTTCCGTGCGGAAATCCCCTCGGATACCACCTATGTGGTGGCATGTCGGACTCGAACCGACTAAAACCGCACGCCGTCTCGGGTACTAATAGCCGGGGAACCAGGTATACCCTAGAAAAGACCCCTGGACCTCTACCACATTCATCAGTGTGGTCAGAATTTTGTACCTAAATTTTAAAAATTGTTTAAGTGGTGACGTAAGATTAGGTATTCTAATCTGGAATATTCTAGAATCAAATATAAATTAGAGCAATATCTGTAAAGCCCTCGGGACCAGACGTGAGATATTCCAAATTAGTATCGAACATTTAGTTTCTAAAGGACAGCCTTAAATTGAGATTATACTCGTATAAGACAGCCATAGTCTTTAGAACATATGAAAGCTAACAAATCTGTAAAATTATTCTGTAATTTCTTGATGTTTCATCTCTTTTATTAATCTTATAAATGTAGATGGCATATTGTACACCATTATTTTCACAACGAAGATCACCAATAAGCACATAGGCCATTGATCGAGTTCAATTATAGTGCAATCTCGCCTGGCATACCCACAGTATAGTAACTGGCGCGTTAATGATATCGCACCCACTACCTTTGTGCGATAACCTTTAAAAATCTACAAGGTATCGCACAAAGGTAGTAGGTCTGGCCAGACACTGTCTTCTTACAGCTATCTAGCTGTAAGAAAACGGTGTCAAGCCGGTACTACTCCAGTCTGGAAGTAATCCTCTTCAGAATTATATTAGATGGTATACCATCTGGCATATTTTGAACAGAATTAGAAGACAATGGGAGTTCAAACCTGGCGGCTCAATTTAACTATCTAAAATATTTTTTTCAGGGATAAGTAGCTTGAACATAAAACAATCAAAGTTCCATAGAGCATGTAAAATGAAAGTACAACAGTGATTTCTATACTGTCTTACAGGAACAAAGCGCTACACTGCTCTGTTCTCAAAACTAATCTGAGTTTGCGATAGCTGTTTCTATCCAGAGCTGTCGCAAACGCATATATATCTAGGTAAAACTAACTCACTTACTTACCTTGTATCTAAAAATACACATAAGAACTTTCGACATAAGAATCAAATAAAAAACTAAAATGGTAAAATGGCAGCAAAGAAAACCTTAGAGCTGTTTATCCGCGTTTATTTTCCAATGCCATTGCTTTGGCGCCGCGCCCGTATGCGAGTTAAATGGTACGTTTTAGAACCTTTTCTATAATACATTATAATAAAAAAGTATTTTGACTGCTCTAGTATATTCCGTATTTTATATTTTGGGAGACAGAGAAGAAATTCTTATATTGAATGAGCGCAGTAAACTGTTTTGGTGCCTTTATTTTAGTTAAGTCGTAAACTTGAGTTCTTTTTAAGGATTTGTGCTCAACAAAGGACCGTTATATGTTAGTTTCTTCATGACCGTCTCTCCATCCGTCCGAGGCCTAGCACAGACCTTATAGTAGTAAAAAGATGTATTTTGCAATGGGTATAATATACATTTATTATGGTGATGATAAAATAAAGTCTTAGTTGTGAAATACAGTCTTAAAATAATTTAAGGTACATCATGTGGAAAAAGTTTCACACGAAAATCTCACACCATGAAGGTTTTATGTAAATTCAAAGTATTTGTTTACTACAACGGCAATTTCATACTTTCCCCAATTATATACTCATTTTTCTGCAAAAAATGTGTTCTATGTTATTTATATAAAATTAGATGATGATCAGTTGGACATTTGGAGCTTGAAACCGTAACAAAGAAATAGCTCGTTATTAATCTTTTTTTCTATATATAAAAAACTGTTACGTTGGTTTATGTACGCTTTAAAACTCAAAAAAGTTCTGCACCAATTCGCCGCCACCGCTTCAAAAATTGTTTTGATGTTTTTTTTTCCCGTCAGCCTTGTTGCAAATGCAATCACAATGTGTCACACCGAAGCGTGGCAGGGTACAGCTAGTGTTTTTATACAAATCAATGTTTGTTGAGGTTCTATCCACCTGATCATCATGAGCTTTACTATAAATATTTACTCAGAAATTGTCATAGTAAAAGTTTCTGCCACGAAGGGATAGAAAAACCACCCTTACCCGAGAGAAGCCTCTGGAAAAAGCCAATCAATATTGATTTATTGATTTAAGTTACAATAATGATAATAAGATTATAGTATATCATGTGTAGTGTAATACTATGAAGTGTTGCATCAAATCCAACTTCTACTTATATACTCAGTACGCATCACAATTTCCATGTCGTCCATATGAAGTCCCTAGCATTTTCTTCAGACTTTTTCAGAAAGACTTTCACAAAACAATGCCCAAAAAAAATGTTTCAAATATGTGGAAAGCTGATTAAATGGACTGCAACTTACGAAACTGTTTCAGAATACAAAGTACTTGCAGCAAATTATTTTAAATAGTTCATTCTTGAACAAATACTGTTTACTACAGTCGTGGGCGGATAAAAAGATGTCTTCACTACTAAGCTGCGCATAACACTATAATCTTGCTAACTTGGATATACATAAGTAAAAAAGAGCTGGTATTTCTGTGCGTGGGATGTAGAATAATGAGAAAAGCATGGACGTTGTATCACGTACCAAGATACTTCACTCTTGTTAAACAGTGTATAAAATAATATAGAGCTTTATTCTATTTAAGAGATAAATTAAATACGAGTATCCTAACAGAAAACGGTCATTGTGTGCTACAAATTTCCATCTCAAATCTTACCTTTTTCCTTTGTGTCTAAATGTATAGTCCTACCAACTTATCTGTGAAATGGCGAAAATTGGAACTACGGCCGTCGTGTTGAAATGTCATTCGATTGTCAGTGTCTACTACATTCGGGTTCTCTGGTTGTTTTGTCGTGATATTGCTGAATTTATAAAGTTAAATATGCCGAAAGCTATTTAAAGTGATGCTCGAAACATTATTCTAAAGGTTAAAACCTTTTTTGAAGAAGAAGCTCGGGCGGGGTCTCCGATTATTCCATTTAATCAAATATACAAACGAATTTCGGCAGCGACAGGTTAGTGTTGTCAACTTTCTTGTTATAAATTACCCGGTACTTAACTAATTATTTAAGTCCACGAAATATTCGCTTCTATTCTTGCTGCGGGTTAGCGTAACGGTAACGTACATCTATTAGGTAACCCGCTAAGTGAGTGAGCCAACTAACCTGCCAGATTTCAAATTTCTACTAACATTTATTTTGTTATCTTATATTTCAGGTGCGAGTCAAGGACTAATTTCAAAAATAGTTAAGGAAGAGCATGCAGCAGAAGAAACTGGTACAAAAATTTGGACACCAGGCAAGGAGAGAAAACGTAAAAGTGGATTTGTGCAAGTTGATGATTTTAACATGGGAGTTATACGGAGGAAAGTACATGAATTTTATTCTGCCAAAAAATCTTTTTTGGCAGAATAAAATTCATGTACCTTCCCCTTGTCCCTACTGTTAAAAAGCTTCTAGAGGTCTTAAAGACAAATAAATTACACAGGACAGCGAGAGAGTCTGCGAAAGCTGCTTCACAAGTTGGGATTTCGTTTTAAAAAATCTCAATCCAATGGAAAGGTTCTTATGGAGCGTAATGAAATATCAGCTTGGAGAGCTAAGTACTTGCATGCAGTGGATAAAAATAATAAATCTCCCCAGCCCCGGCCCATAATTTATTTAGATGAGACCTATATTCACTCTTCGCATACATCGGGTAAATGTTGGCAAGGAGACAGTGAAGACGGAGTATTGGAGCCTGTATCGAAAGGGCAAGGGTATCATGCGGGAGGAGATACTGGATTTGTTACAAATGCACTACTTGTGTTTAAATCAAACACAAAAAGTGGTGATTATCATGACGAGATGAATAGTACCAACTTTAAAAAGTGGGTTATTGAAAAACTTGTGCCTAATTTACGAGAGCCATCCATAATAGTGATGGATAATGCTCCTTATCAAAGTATTTGTGTGAATAAAGTCCCAAATACGAATTCTTTAAAAAAAGATATGCAATTATGGTTGACCCAAAATAAAATTGACTACGGAGAGAATTTGACTAAACCTCAGCTTTTAGAAATAATTAAGAGAAACAAGCCTGAACCTGTATATGAGATTGAAAAAATTTTAGAAGACAATAGACATAAATGCTTATATTTACCACCTTATCACTGTGATCCCATTGAACTCATATGGAGCACAATGAAAAGAAAAGTTGCTGATGTAAATATTGAGCACAAAAATGCTGAAATTCCCTGCCTAGTTAGAGAAGCTTTTGACGCTATTACAGTTCATGAGTGGGCACAGCATAGTAAACATGTTCGCAGGTTAGAAGGAGAATACTTAAAACATGATTTGTATTTAGATAAACCTTTTATTATAGAAGTTGTAAGTGACACTGAAACCGAAAGCGATAGTGATAATGATGATAGTGGTACGGAAATAAGCGGAGTATGGCCTCTCAACCAGGATGAAGTTGTGTATGCAGGTTCATTTAATTACTGTAAACCTGGTTTTCAATAAATTATTATAAAGCAATTTGTTTTTTTTAATTACACTACACTACCACTAGGTACCACTGCTAATTATAATTAGTCAAATCTGGTGTTAGGGGTTAGTTACGGTCATAACTAAATGCTAGACATACATGCATACATAACATGCTAGGGTAGGTACCTACTTAACTTCGCATTAAATGAAAGTTGTATCTCTCAAGTGGAACATTTTATCTGCTGAATTTCCACTTCATTGGATTACTTTTTAGATAAAGCCATTGTTTATTGCTGAGAGACTAAACTGTTAGTGTACCTACGCAACTGTAAATTATCAAATTCTTTTTATTTATTTTATTATTTTTATAGAGGTATCATTATTTTTAATTTGTTTTGTTTTTAATTCTTATTAAACGATTATGTCTAATGTGAAAATTCTTTCTTGAAAACTTACTCAATTTTGGACACCTTATATTAATTAGCAACACTGAATCGACGGTGCCGTCCTCTTTCAGTTCACAGATAAGTTGGTAGGACTGTAAAAGCATTACAATGTCACAGTATTTTTTTAATGAAACTACAAAAATGGTAAAGTGCTAACACAAGTCTAAGCGATTTAAATTTATACTTACTATTAGAATGTATTTAAATGGGTCAGGTATTTTTAGACCACATAAAATATAAATGTGCCTAAAGTGTCCGATTGCAGCAATAGGTATAAATACATAAATGGGACTAAATTTGTGCGTTTAACATGTAATTTCTTGTATATTCACTCTTCTGAAATAACATAGATTATTTCTGCGACTTGTCTCAGTTATATGTACATAGAATTACTTACCTACTTGAATTATAAAATTAAAATATTCTGTTTGTCTCCAGGTCTAGCCGTGCCATTTGTGGAGTTGACCGTCACCCACGCGTCAGTCCTCACGATCCTAGCGATCAGCTTTGAGCGCTACTACGCCATCTGTGAACCGCTGCGAGCCGGATACGTTTGCACTAAAACCAGGGCTGCATTGATCTGTGCGTTAGTGTGGTTCTTTGCTGCGTTATTTACGAGGTAAGAAACTGGTACGTGTTGGTATAGGTGACCAGTGATGGTAGGTATAAGGGTTTAACTAGAAAAGAACTTAAAATTCGAAATTGGAATTCGGAATTATGTGTTATTTAAAATTCGATTATGATTTATAAATTTTAAATTGGAATATGTAATATCTTTGAGTCATCTAAGAAACTACGGAGGTTTTGCTTTAGAAATCGGTATGTTAAATAAGTGAAGTTTCCGTTGACTACCATTAAATACTCAAAAGCTTGCCCAATAACTTGATTCTTATACCATAGTACATCATCACTGATCACTTTCAATAATGAATATTTAAACAACCACATATATCAATATATATTTGTATTCTTAACAATATAATAATACAATACATTATTTTTGCCTAAATTGTTTGTGAGCAGGCATTAACGAGAGACAAGGAGTTACCAGCTGCGTTCCAACCGCAGCGTCAATTCGCCAGTGTTGCTTTCTAACCAATTTCCAAAGCTATTAACTACACACCCAAAATGGACTATGGGTGAACACGTGTGCTGCTTTGCTAAACTTTAATAATGACGTATGAAATAAGAAAAACATCTTCAACCAAGAAGGTTGATAATTATGAACTTAAATTAGTTTATAAAAGACAAAAATATTCTCTGGCAAATTTAATTGTCTAGTTGTTTCGCCGTCTATTAAAGGTACCCTTTTTAAATCTAATTTTTAAATTAAGAAAATTACTAATAGTTTTAACCTTTTTAAATCATGATCATTATCTTATAAGAAAGTTCCAGAATTGTATCTTTGAAAAATCTAAAATAAACAGCGATGGACTGAATGATCATCTGATCAGAATCATTTTTATAGATGTTTTTTTTTTCTGGACAAGACATGGACCTGGCAATGTCACGTCATATCTGTTACTCATACCGGTATTTAAAAATGTTGTCAACCACTTACCTTTAGGTCGTGGGATTTTCCATTGTGCACTTTGATAATTAGAAACAGACGCAGAGAAAAACTTAATCTATCATCACCAGAACGGCTTCTTCAAGAACAGCGTAGGGCCTATTCCAATTTGTTGTCCAGATTGCATCATGTATGCCCAAATAACACAGGTACTATAGTTACTTCTGTGAAGTCTTGAGACATATAAGCAAGTACAAAGTGATAACTTTAGAATTGAAAAAGCAGGCGTCTTTTAAATACAGAGAATGCATCACGGTTACAAAGTAGTTGAGAGCAAATACCGTCTAGTCCGTCGTTAGCTCACATGATTGTGAGTAGACTTAAACACACACCCCCTAAAATATCAGATTTCAGTGATATAAGTTTGATGTGCGACGAGCGGAAGGTATCCTTGAAATTTACACTGTCTATTTTGGAGTTATTACTCCTACAGAATATCGCAGATTAAAATGATTTTGCACGAGTTACCTTAAATTGAACGTGTGTGCGTTAAGTGTGCGAGTCTGATTCGCTTCCCGAGCATTTGATACAAACTTGTACAAGTATGTGGACAGTTTATCCATCAGGTATCAATTCTAAAATATATAGCATTTTAACTACTTACTCAACATGAATGTTAAGTTTGCAAGTAGTTATAAAATGGTTGTAAATAAAAAATATTCGACAAATACTGTTATGTCAAAAACTCTTTTGGATTTTTCCTTTAACCTTTGCTGTAAGCCTTGATTCTCGCTAAACTCGTATTTATTGATTCTAGATCAATGACAAGTATATACTTACAGGTTTAGATTTACAGGGCATTTGTTTATAAAACAGACAGACACTGGTGCAATACGGATAGACAACGATGTGATCTTGAAGTCGCTTTTACCTTTTGTTGAGTAAAACCTTAGAAATGATCGTGTTCATCAACGTGAGCACTTATGTTAAATCCACTTTATGTCTTATGACTGCAACTTTAAAGTCCTCAATGATAATGATGTCTTATTTCAAGAACACTCCCTGTTCTTGAAATAAAACATCATTATCATCATCAACAGACTCTACTAACCTACTGATGGCCATAGGCCGCTCCTTAGAAATTAGGTTTAGGCCTGCTATACCACGCTGGCCAGACAGGTTGGTAAAGGGGTTGTTTCATGTTTTCCTTCTCTTGGCAGTGCTGCTGCTGTCCTGCTTAGTTTGCTCCCTTAGTCAGCTCTTACGACACCCACGGCATGAATAGGGGTGATGACACTCCATATTTTTAATCCGTCACCACACGGTTTAAAATGTTACGTCCTATTCTCTTTATCTCTTTGTTACACTTTTGCCATTATTATCATTCAGCCTTCACCTACCTACCTACTAAGGTACCTAGACAATGGATATACAATTATGCGAGCGTAGCTGCCTGCAAAAGCTTGTTTTCCATATTATTCAAAGACAACTGTAACATAAGCCTCCAAGAAATGTAATTGGGATAAATTTGTAAGTAATTTATCATTCACAAAATCCGTTTTGTATCTGTTTCAAAGACTACCAAGAGGTGATTATTTGGAACATAAGCTTTATCGCCCTCGGGGGCTAAACATTATTCATGAGTCTATCAATATGACGGATGAGTCGCTCTCAATGTGTGTTAGGCTAATAATGGGGCGCGTAGAGAGAATAGAGGTTTAGCAATGTTGATAAGATTTTATAATGGCATAGCTGTACCCTGCAATGCGTCGTTTCAGGATTTTTTAAGGGGTGCACAAACCAAGGTCACATTTACAACAAATATAGCATCAACACAATGCAATCCAGCTTCTAAGGCAATGCAATCAAAACCTAATAGCATTTACACCACATTAATATTTACCCGGTAAATTGAAAACTATAGCATACTTCACATTGATCTAAGATCATAACTTTTTGGCTAGAAGCAAGCTATCAAGACATAGGTAAATAATGTTTCAACAACAAAAATGTTTTTACAATCTTATATTTCGTGTGGTGACGGATTAAGAATACGGAGTGTCACCACCCCTATTCATCCCGTGGGTGTCGTAAGAGCCGACTAAGGGAAAAAACTACGCAGAACAACAGCACTGCAGAGAGAAGGAAAACTTGACACAAACCCTATACCAACCCGTCTGGACAGCGTGGTATAGTAGGCCAAAACCTCCTTTCTAAGGAGAGGCCTATGTCCAGCAGTGGACTATTAAAGGCTGTTGATGATGATGTGATATTTTGTTGTTATTTTTAGATCTAGAGAGCTTGATTCTCGCGATGTACGGACTATCCATTTACTTCTTTTATAAGTTTGCGGAACTGGCTAGTCCATTGGATTTACTAAACTATAATTTAATCTAAGAACAATACAAAACTTGGGACTGCACAAATATATCTCTAAGGTACAAGGTCGTTATTCAAGAGAGGTTGTCCCTCTCAAGACAGACAAAAATAATACATTACAACAAAACGGATGGATCATACATCATCTGTATCTGAATAATCAAATCTGACTTGGCTTATTAGTAGGATCATTTTGATTCGCACCCTACGGTTATTATATTGCAAATAATTGTCTTGATATTTGCGAGTTTCTACTTTATCATTGTGCCTAGAATAGATTAAGGTTGTGTTTATTCTCCATCATTTACTATTTTAATAAAAAAAGTAGATCGGATATGTTACATTCCTCAGATAATTATCGCATATGACATGTAATCAATTGTTTAATGCACTTCTCTTAAAACAATTACTTTTTTAATAAAATTATTGTTTTTATTATTCTATGTGTTAGTGTTTGTAAAGTCGGTATTTTTAAATATAAATGTTACATTGAGAGTTACGCTGTAAGTTTTACGACTTTTGCTGACGGATTAAGTGACGGATTAAGAATACAGAGTGTCACCACCCCTATTCATCCCGTGGGTGTCGTAAGAGGCGACTAAGGGAGAAAACTACGCAGGACAACAACACTGCAGAGAGAAGGAAAACTTGACAAACCCTTTTTTTTTTTTTTTTTTTAATGTGTGGAAATCCCCTCGGACCGTCACCCCGCCGGGGTTTGCGGCGGGGTGGTGTGTCGGACTCGGACCGACTAAAACCACACGGTGTGCCACTCTGCGCCTGTAACAGGAGGGATCCGGGAACAGCTGTTGTTAAGACATCCGGACCCCTCCTAGCGCCAGCCCGCTCCTGGTGCGGGCTGCGTCTCAATGTTTTTCCTCTCTTTATAGGCGACGTCCGGCACACGCGGACGCCGCCCCCTCGCGGCTGGCCAAACTAATGCGGGTGGAGGGGAAACCCACCCCGTCCACCCGCGGCCACACTCAGGGCGGCATGAGGCTGTGAAAACCCTATACCAACCCGTCTGGCCAGCGTGGAATAGTGGGCCAAAACCTCCTTTCTAAGGGGAGGCCTATGTCCAGCAGTGGACTATTAAAGGCTGTTGATGGCTGTATATTCCAGTAATTCTATTAACGACCCAATGATAGAAGCGATGCTACCCAGAAACAAAAAATAAATACAAAAAAATTGTCGATTTTTGTTTCATTTTTTTTTAGATTAACAATAAATGTTTCTCACGTTTATTGTATGATAGTACTGTGTCTTACAAAGAATTTAAACCCTAAATGGATCCTCTAGGGCCTCCCTAAGCTACGCAAAGATTTACGTTTTTTTTCCCAATTTCACTATAAATAGGATTTTGAATTGTTTTTAATTTTACAAAAGTTATTGTTTTCCACTCAAGAAAGGCTACCTTTTCACCGAATATAAAGTGATTTGCTTTATAAATAATTAAATAAATACGTTAAAAATAAAAAAGCCAAACTTTTTACAGTATTTTCCGATTTTCTCAGAAAATATACATTGAATCCTAATCCCACAAGTGTCATTCTACTAAAACATTTTTCTGTCTGAAAACAGTATTTTCAATTTTTATGATTTTTTTAGGTTATGTTGTGCAACAGCTATAGAGATTTAAACTATACTACGTTTTTAAGAATGTTTCAATCTACACGACCCTATTTTTTGTGGCTGGATATCATCGAAAAAGTCAATTTTCGTAGAATTAC